AAACTAGATGGTATTCAAGTTTCACTCGAATACGAAATGCGATGCGAAGCAGGAATCTGGATCCATGAAAAATCTACAATTCAGAGAAATCTTGAATACTTTTTATGTCGACATGATGAAATTCATCACTGAGAAAACTCTATTCTTACTTAGCGATACATTCTTAAAGATCGATTTCGTTTGATCGATTAATTATCTCCATGATTCATTATCTTAGATCAGCTGTAAATCAATAGACTATAGTGGCTAACATATGTTCATGACGTCACTTTAATTATCTCTCCATAAATTTCTTTCATTTTCGTCATTTTGGAACCGCATTTGTGGGGAAACAAAACGTCCGATGAAAAATTAGAAAAAATATTTCTCAAGTTCGATCTCGATACTTCGATCTCACGTTTCAACGAGTTTTCTACGATTTATGGTTCTGGAGACCGTCGCGACACAAGATGACGACTTGTGATGCGTACGTCAAGTGAGTAAAAAATAATAAAAAAATAAAAAAAACTCGCGACGGACTACATAAATGCTTCTGCTTCGCATCGCATTAAAAATTATGATAATTAATCTTTTTCTCTTTTCCAGCTTGGTTTTCAACTGAATATATTGAAGATAAAAATAAAGTACAGAATGTGAAAAGTTTTGCAAAGAAATTACACATATTATCAGCTAAAAAAATTGTTTGAGCGGGATTATTTTTAACTTTGAAGAGTCTATTTTGAATATGATTAGAATTTTAATGATCTACTTACTTAGATATATCTTTGTAATATGATAAAGTATAAATATATCCTTATCCAATTGTGGTTGCATGAAATATGGTTTGCTATATCTTTTTTCACGTATAAAAAAATATATTATGGTGTTCGAGAAAAAAATCTCTAATCAAATAATAATCCTGATAATCAGCGAATGAACTTGATTATATCGTAGTTCAACTAAGGTCTTTAAATTGTATATTGGATTCAGAGCCTTTTTATATGAGATTTCTCTAATGAAAATACGAACGTCTTTTTTCACCTTTTTCTTCCCATATTATTTGCCTCACTTAATTTGTTTCTTAAATGTCAATTATAGTCTTTTTTCTTACTACCTGCTTATGATCATGAAACAAAAGCGGCTAAATATAGAAAGAATGATGATTCGTTGTATCTATCGTTCCCGCAGCAATAACCAGCGATAATTTAGAGAAGAGTCACCAGTTTTCAATGAATTCTCATGTATCAAATTAAATATAGGAAAAAATCATAAGAAAGTTATTGTAGAAGGTTGCACTGACCCTTAAAAATGATTGTTGAAAAGTTTGATGAATTATACATATACATGTCATGGTCATTCTTTGGTATCGTAGTTTTGCTAAGCGTTTAATGTCTTGCAATTTTACTATTGTTTCCTTTAGTCGCTGAATAATTAAAAAAAATTTAAGTATCAAACAGTTTCCCTTCATGTCAATAAAAAGACATGTTGTTTAAGTTGTATTCAAATGTTACAATGCAACATAATACATAGAAGAACATAGTCGGGCCCGTTAATTAGTCGTAATTGTATACGTCATATCGACCGAGTGATTATTCTATGACATCAATATGTTATTTAAAAATAACCAAACTATTTTCACCAAATTAAAATGTACTGATGAGTTTTATGAAGCACAAATGTGTATTTAAAAACTATTGGACTATAAAAACAAATCGTGAAAGTGTTTATGCTATGTACGCAGTTGTGATCGCCGACTATTTTGGTGCGAAAGTTTCATCAAAATTTCCAAAATGCTCAATTAAGTTCTTTTTTCACAAATGTACGTGAATTATTATTTTCACGGAAAACAATATTTCCAATGACGCGTCTATTTATTCAATGACATTGGCTACGTTTGATTTGTTGCTTTTTTTTCTTTTAAAGGAATCATCTGTATTGCGTTCTCTACATGAAACTAGAAACGAAATATGACGACACATTTTTTATTTACTCTGTTCGTTCTGCATTCTACAACATGCTTGGTATTGCTAACTGCCGCCGTAAATGGGAGGCAAACATATTAGTTTAATGACGATATTTCTTTGTGTATTATTCATTTGTTTTCATGTTATTTCACAACCTATGTCGCATGATTATATTTCATGTATATATACGTGTTTTATAATTGTGAACGAGTATATTGCAAACATATTACAAGCTTCACGCAAACGTCAATTTACTAAACAAGGATTAATACATATATAATGACAGAACCATCGGGAACTTTTGTTTGTCCAATCACTCATGAACTTATGGTAGACCCAGTCATTGATCCTGATGGTAATAGCTATGAGCGACGTGCTATTGAAGATTGGCTTCGTCAAACGGGTACATCACCGATTACACGTGCTCCCCTCTTAGCATCTGATCTTCGTCCAAATCGTGCACTAAAAGCAGCTATCGATGAATATCGCCATTCAATTGACTCTAAAAATCAGCTCACTACATTGTCTTTGACAGAACCAAAACCTTATGAATTGACAGCCAATGGAAACTATGTTGACGGTTTTGTTCATATTTCAATTCAACCACCATCGGATACAAATCGTTCTCCATGTGATATCTGTTGCGTAGTAGACACATCAGGTTCAATGGCTGTACAAAGTGAAATTCAAAACGAGACTAATGAAAAGTTTGGTCTGTCCCGATTAGATTTAGTCAAACATGCAATAAAAACAATTGTACATTCACTTCAACCACAAGATCGTTTATCACTTGTATCATTTGCAAACAGTGCTACAGTTCTATTTCAATTAACAAATATGAGCCCAGATGGCAAATCAAGTGCTTTAGCCGCTTTAGAGAGATTAGAAGTATGTGATTTTTTAAAAGCAAACTCTAAATAATTCTTTATTTCAAGATCAACAGTATACTTGATATCGTTACAACTATAAGTTGCTCAAACTTTTTCGTAGCTAATTTGACTATTGAATAGAAGCATGTTGCAAATCTTTTGAGAATTTTTCACAAGAAAAATAAGTGTCTTCATGAGCAAACAAATCTAGGCTAATAATTTTAAAGAAGTATTATATTTATGTAATTCATTATTAATACGCTAGAAAAATATCAAACATTGAAATGAACTATCTCTAATGAAAAATAAGTATATTTCTCTTGAAAATTACTTTAGACATTGCAAATGTAATTCTATCTCATTTCCACTTAATATCTGTTATTTTCACAGTAATTTGTGTTTAGATTATTATATTTTTATTCTTATTCAGGATAATGGTCAAACAAATTTATGGGATGGTCTTCGGGCTGGTCTTGAAATTTTATTGAAAGGTCAAAGAGCTGTTGGAAGTAATACGGCTCTTTTTCTTCTTACTGATGGTTGTCCGAATGTTGAACCCCCACGTGGTCATATACCAACACTTGAAAAATTGAAGCAAAAAACCAATTTTACATCTATGATTAATACGTTTGGTTTCGGCTACGATTTGGACAGTCATCTACTCGAAGAAATTGCCATGCTAGGGAATTCAGGTTCATATGCATTTATTCCTGATGGATCATTTGTAGGAACAATTTTTGTTAATGCTATGACTACATTATTGGCGACAGCGGCTACGAATGTGCAGGTAATGATTATCATGTAAATTAATCGAATCTGTTCTTGAGACAAATACATTTTTTTCTTCATATCATTAATGACGTAGAAACGATTTGTGTATGTAGTTTTGCCAAATACTACTGAAAAGAAAACGTGCCTCCGCACAATACATGTAGGATTATGAGATGAATCACATGATAAATATAATTCATATTCTCACGAATAGTACGAACTGTCTGTGTGTGCTTTTGTCCATGATAGATTGCCCGTACGTTGATCACAGTCTGTGAGATGACATGCGAGAGGATTCACAATCTCATACTATACATACTCCAGCATTTCTTATCAGTTCTATTGCATAGGATAATGATACAACTATTAGAAGAAACTTTCTTTTATTCAATGAGGAAACAATACTTCTATCTTGATCTTGAGTTGAGACACAAGTTCGCTGATAAATAAGTCAATTTATAGTATCAATGAAAGTCAAATTTATCATTTTCATCTTTTCCCAGATACACGTTCATGGTCCACGAATTGAACCATCTGATTATACACGTTGGTATACAACAGCAGTCACTGATCAAAATACAGTATTTGATTTGGGCTTAATCACATATGGCCAAAGCAAAGACTTACTTATTCCTATTTCTTCCGAGTCATTATCGGAATACGAATTTTCTGTAATTTACAATACATTACAAGAACCAAAGAGATCAATAAAAATAAAAATAAATACAAATCCTGAACAAAATGATATTCGTCGTTTTGTTCAACAGAAATTTCGTCTTGAATTGGTTCATTGTGTGCGAACGGTCTTACAAGCAAGGCGCCAACAACCAAATGAAGATTCTGCAGTAGCGATGAGTCAAATTAAAGAATTGGAAGAGAAAATGAGACAATATTCAGGTGGAACTGATGCATTTGTCAAAGATTTACTAGCAGATTTAACCGGACAAGTACAAGAGGCTCTTACAAACAAAGATTGGTTTACAAAATGGGGTGTACACTTTTTACCTAGTTTAACTCGTAAGTCGATTAAAACAATCAGAAACCAGTTTTTTTTACAAAATCAAAAATATATCTGAAGATTTAAAAAGATTATTTATTGGTTAACTTTTTCTTATAGGCGCACATCTTCTGCAATATTGCAACAACTTTAAAGATCCAGGTGTTCAACACTATGGATGTGGTACCCTTTTTTCGACGATACGCGATGAAATGGACACTATATTCTGTTCTTTACCGGCTCCAAAACCTTCACAACAAACTGGTGCCACAATAAATATGACAGTCTTTCATAATGCTGATGGTGGATGTTTTCATGGCGGATGTCTAGTGCGTTTAATGAATGGAACTACTAAATTAATCAAAGATGTTCAACCCGGCGATAGAATGGCACCACATGGAGGAATGGTCAATTATGTTGTTAAAACAAAATGTCAAAATAAAACAGCAAAAATGGTTGTAGTAAGTATCATACTAATCGATTTGTGATTTTATTTTGCAAAGAAGAACATAATATAAATTCGGCATGTGTTTTTTTTTCGTATTCTAGATTGACAATGGTCTTATTATTACTGCTTGGCATCCGATTCGTCTCGGTCAACAATGGGTAATGCCTTGTTCACTTGTCTCGGCACCTACTGAAATTTCTTGCGAAGAAGTTTATAATTTTGCTCTTGATCAAGGTCACACTGTAGTTGTCAACGATATTGAATGCGTTACATTAGGTCATGGGTTCAAAGAGGATGTAGTGCGACATAATTATTATGGTACGCAACGCGTAATTGATGATTTACGTCAACTCGATTTTGAACAACATAATTCAGGAATAATTGAAGTTACTGAAGAAGTACTAATACGCAACAAACACTCTGGTCTAGTTACTGGTTTACGCTTGATTGAAGCACAGCATCAATCACAAATAATTGTTTAGTGAACAAACAAAACAAAACAATAATATTTATTTTTATATTTTTATGAATACAGTTTTTTTCTAATAAATTTGCCTTGATTTATAATATAAATGATGAGTATTGATTGAAAATATTAAATATAATATGTACCATTATATGTGTCTCTCAGTATTGCAAAGACAAGAGTTTTCTTTTTGTTGAATTACAAAACGATGGAAACAAACAGACAGACAAAATCGATACTTTCTAAAAATTCTAAAAAAGCTCTAGCTAATTACAAACGGTTAGAAAGATAAGTTTATTCTAATACTTCACTTTACAGTAACTTTCACGGATGTATTATTTGTATGTACTCATGGTTTTTCGATTAACTTGAATATACTTCTACGTTTACTCAAAATTTGATTAATATGCAACGATAGTTTTTGAATTTATCTTATGACGACACCTTTCTACATAGAAAGGTCATTATATGTATGATCTGTGTATTCAAGAGCTGAAGGATCGATGCGAGTATCAGTGGCTGATATTGAAGAGCAAACAAAACATCCAGGCGCATCGTTAGTTCTCTTGATATGTGAGTATCGATTTATGGATGATCGTGTTTCATAAAATTCGCTGAAGAAATCTCAAGTCTACGTAGGAATATCAATCAGACAAATGTTCGCCGGACTCTAAGTTTTGAAATTCGAAACGAAAGTTATGGATATTCATCAAATAGGAAAAAGTACATACGCAGGTAAAGACATTTAAAAGTATGCTCAGAGTTATAAAAAACAACTTCTTTATATTTCTTTGATGAAATTTTGCCTTCAAGCGCCACCTCTTCCGTAATTGTCCCAATGGGTGAAAAAGACCAATCAAATGACAAAGAAAACTACTGAAAAACAAAGATTTTCCAAAAACGTTTTCATCTCGCTACGACAGAATGAATTTCAATGTAAATATAATAAAAAAAAAGCCTTTCGTTAAAGTTAAGTTAGTTCGAACCTCATATATTTATAAGGTTGCAATCGGTGGACAACTAACAGCCTTTGCCATATATTATTATTGCATACGAATACAATTAATTGTACTAGTGATAAACAATTTCATTAACTTATAAGATCTTTGTTTTTTTTAATTAGATTTTAATAGATTATTTGTAAAGCTTATAATAATAATGAAGTTAATTTTAGATTTTTTTAATAGGACATTAGAGAAATCTAAAATATCTACAAAGAGACTTTCACGATTGATTCACTCGTTGCAAAATTGCGTGATTTGTGTTTTTGAACAATTCATATTTTGTAAATGTCAATTCTAAGAGATGAGCAATTAGTTTTACCTTGAAACATATAGGCATATGCAAGTTTATGTTACGTAGGAAAAGATTATACCTGAATTAGTATTCCAATTTTATTTTAATCTTGACAAAAATTTATTAAATTTTGAACTGAAACGATTTATTTATTTTTCAAGATAATATAAGATGGAACGTGCAACAAAGAATCATGTACCATTGAATGAAATCGAAGGGATTGCATCAACTAATGTTCCAGCATATTCGAACAGGAACAGTAGTATATTTAACATAGGGCGTCATTTCGTTCATGGAATTTATACTGGTTATAAATGGCAATGTGTGGAATTCGCTCGCCGATGGTTATTAATGCGTAAAAGTTGTATATTTCGAGAGGTTCCTGCAGCTTGTAATATTTGGAGTGATGTACCACATATCGAACGAATTACTGACGGAAAACAATTTCCTTTACGTCCGATTGCTAATGGTACTGAAGAACCCCCTAAAAAGGATTCAATACTAATTTATCGTCGCAGTCTAGCGATGCCTTTTGGACATGTTGCTATCATAACTGATGTTGTACCGGGTTATGTTCATATTGCTGAACAGAATAATTTATATAATTACTGGCCCGGTGATTATGCTCGCCGAGAACCATTACGATTTGAAAATGGTCTTTATTATATTGATGATCAACATAAAATTTATGGTTGGATGGAAATTCAATGTAATGATCAATTACATCTATTTGATGAAGTGGATAAAGACAAAATTCTTCAGCAATACATTTATCAGGAACCAATTGGACTATTGCGACGCTTATTCTGTTCAAAGAAGAATAAAGATTCGGGTAGATGAATGATGAAGAGTATTTGTATTTCTTCTAATTCTTAACTATGACCAATGTTTATGTTTTATTTGTTTTTAAAAAAAGTAATTTACTTAAAACCTTCAACACATTTGTTTTAAAAATAGAATGGTGATCATTATTCACATGAAATATAATTTCATATTTTGGTACGAATTTTTCAATAATTATTGATGGGATTTTATTGTTATTGAAGCCTGTCGAATTGAAATACGGTCAACAAGAAATTTACCTGGTGGACAACAATCAAACATGTGTTGCGAGTGAAACTATCTCAGATTTTGTGAGAACAATTATTTTCTATCAGAGTTGTGTCATTCATCTTTCTTATAAGCATTCATCTATTGTTTCTTTTCATTGGTATAGATACACTCACGTTAACTCAGTTGTACATGACAGTCATAAATATTCGGATGTCTATTTTTTAAGTTTTGTTTTTCAATCAGTCATCATTTAAAGAGTTTATGAAAAGAGATTGATCAATTATTATGTATAGAGCGCTGTGAAGAAATTCAAAAACTATACGTAACTAAGTCAAACCAAATAATAAAACTAGTAATTATCTAATTTCACTATAAAAAAAATGACATGCTTATTAAAGTTTGAATTCGAGCTAGGCTTATAAATTGCATTGCAATTTTTGATAGATATTATATCATTACTCGATATTTATAATTGAAAAATATTCTACCGATCTCTCTGAATTGAAAATGTTCCAAGGATTATTTTGCAGACCGATCGACATATTTTTGTGTCAAGATGACTGAGAGATATAAAGCACATTTTACAAGGATCAATACATCCTGAGGTTTTTGAAAGATATTTTTGCAAGTGTACCAATCTCATATCGATGAATAAAATCGGTCGATCTAGATTGTGAGCCATTATAAATAATTTGATTTTATAATCTTTCACAAACAGTTCATAGTTATTAAAAGATATTTTTTTCACACTTATTCGATAATTTTAATTGTGTGTCATATCTACAACAACAAACAGCATCGTGAAGATAGACACGGTTTGTTCTTTTTTCTTAATTCCATTAAACGCCCACTTGGCACATTCATGTTTAATACCTATAAGAAGCAGAGAAAACTTCGCTATATAAATATTAAATAATTATAAAATACTTTTTTCGGTCGTTCAATTTCACTACTCATCCATAAGTGTATCCAAAAGTCAGATTGAGAATCTAAGCGATATGTAAAACTATTGTTTTTTCTCAAGCGCTTCGTTTTTTCTGTAAACCATTTATGTAGATCACTTTCTGTTGATAACTCTTTGGTATTATCTGAATCGTTCGTAATATGAAAGGATCCACTTGATAAATGCATTAATCGATCGATTAAATAGAACATTTGTAACAAACTAGTGATTCTGATTGTTAAGCGTTCTACATACGGGAAAACAGTGGATAGATCATAGTCTTCTTTTTTACATGAATATATAAATTCTGACAAATCCAATATACGAATCTGTGCTAGTGAATCACTATCAGAAAGTTCTAGCAGAGAAAAACTAAAATCGATTTTCAAATGATATAGACGAATCATCGATGTTTTAATGATTCGCAGAAGTTTTTTCAACGACCATGATATTGACTTCACACATAAAAATTCCACTTTAGAAAGATCTAATATATTTTCATCAATCTTCGTTATCGATAATATCAATCTTTGAACGTTTGTGTATTGATAAGATGATTTTTCGTTCGCATCAAGTTCCAATTCATTTATTTGATTATAATAAGTAAAATATTGTGCGGCAGGAAGTGTGGTTGAATGAGGCGAAATTGATAATAAAGAATGTTTTATTGTATGCGGCGCAAAACGAGGAATAGTATAGAGAATAAAATCATTGATATCATAAGTTACATACCATGCGGGATTTCGATTGAGCCAAAATGAACTGCGAAATTGAGTAAGAATATTTTCTGTGTGGTAATTATTACGATCAATATTTATTATCTTAAATTTGAAATTAAATGCAAAAAGAAGTGGTAAATATTTTTGAATGAATAACTCCCATTGATTTCCTTCTAATAGATTGCTACTTCCACCAGAAATAACGTTCAATTCAAGCTGTTGAAGATAAGGCATACGTGAAAGAAATCGTTCAAATAGAAGACGTGAAATAGTTCTAGCTAGAAAGAAAAAAACAGCATAACAGAAGTTAGAATGGAGACTTTTTTTCTATGTAATCAATTCAAAGATTTTAAAGAAAATATGTTTCAACTTACTGAATGTATGAATGGATATAGTTAGTTTATTAATAATAAGAGGAACTTCTTGGTGTTGTTCGGCAAAGTAATCGATACCAGTACAATCCGAAATAATCAATGAAATATTAAGTGAAGTAAGCTTAGGAGCCGAGCGAAGAATTTGACGCAATTGATTGTATGAACAATAAGGTAAAGTAAGATTACGTAAATAAAAAAATGAAATAGCACAAAGTGAATTTTCTTGATTATAATCATGGTCGGAAAATTTATTTACTATTAGTCGTTTGAGTTTAGGAATTGTTTCAATCATCCACAGATGAGATAATGTATCTGTTTCAAAATAATTCAGATATTTTAGCTGGTGAATATTGGTAAAAGATGTACGATTACCATTTTCTATATCAGATAATCTAATTGCACGAAGATTAATAAATTCCTCAATAGGAAATAGTGAGAAATAGATTTTTGATTGACATGGAGTTTCATTATCATCAGACAAAATGAGTGACGTAATTTGATTCGATCGAATAGAACAACAAACCAAATCGAAGAGACGTTTTAAGATCGATTTGAAATTCACATGATAATTATGATAAGTTAAGATAATACTATTTATATAAGCGCTACTATCAAGAAAGGAATAAAGAATATCGTGAGCCCAAAAATAGTCAAAAATAGTATAAATTATCTCTTTAGGTAATGAATCAAGAATAAATATAGGCTGCTTGGCAGGTGAAAGAATCATGGTAACTGATTTTTGTGATTTTTTGCAAATCTAAAATATTTCTATGAGCATATTAAACTATATGCATCTGCAATATTTGAATAGAATAAATCTTATTTTGAATATACATTAAGTATATGTATGTGTAAATATTAATGGTACAACTGAAGAAGAAGAACAACAACATCCCTTACAATAATTGCTGCGATTGGTAGAGGCAGATCAACGAGTATCAGTGCCATGGTGTCGTTCTTTCTGCAGTTGTACCTTTAATTCCGTCGTATCATATGAATAATTCCGTCTGTAATGCGCGGTAAATATTACCGAATGGAAATATTCTTCTCGAGTTCTTTTTGATGTTTTCTTCTATTTAGTGATATTGGTTAGACATCAATGACACAAATAGATAAAATAATAAAGAAAGTAAAACCGATAGTAAAAATTATGGATTTTTTCTATAAATAGTGGCGTATCTACACGAGCATTCATTTCCCGATTCTTTGTCATCAATTTAGTACTGAATGTGTCTAACCAGTAGGAAGTGAAGGAATAAAAAAAAAGATGGTACCGTTAGGGGTCGATAGTGACCGTAAAACTTTCTTTTTCCTTCGTTATTAAGTTTTCCTTGTTTGAAATATTTCTCACGGTGAGTACATAAAGAATAGAAATAGTGTGCTGATGACGTATCATGAAACATTCTTTTGGCATGCCATGATTTATCAATTTTTTACTTTAGTCGTTTTTTACAAAATTTCCCAAACAATTTTCTTATTTTATCAAAAAAAAAGATTCAATTTTGAGCAATTATTTTACTTTTCGGATGCTTGATCAATTTAAAAGACTGCGCTCTGTACATCCCTTTCATATGTAGAAGATAGTAAATCTTCAATCATCTTTAAACATATATGAAACTGTGTTGTGGCAAAAAGTATTCTCATATGAATACGTTTCTCAAGAATCTAATGAAAAAATATAGCAGAAGCTTCAGATATTTAATACTGAATTTTTTAGTATCGGCTGTAAAAACTATTCGATCACAAACAAGTAAATTAATTCATCTATTCTGAGTTCTGTTATCAATTAAAATACACAAGATAAATGCCAATATTTACTCTTATCTGATCTTTTTTAAATTCCATTCTGACGCATCAATTAGACAATATACTGAACAGCTTTGATGACACTGTCGATCGATCTTCGTCATATACAACTGAAATTATATATTATCGTGACAAATAAATCTTAGCTGTCAGATCTTTGGCATGTTCATTGATTCAATCATCTTTGATCTTTTGGTCTTTAAAGCAATTACTAATCCTATCTGATTCTTTTCCATCATCATCAATAAACTATCTTGAATGAATCTAAAAATGTACTTTCCAGTATTTGCCTCCAAGTCAATTAGCTATTATTGTTGGGAAAACACACGGTGAGGACAGCTATTTTACCCAATAATTCAAATGTGCTTACCCTAAAAAGCAGATCTCAATACGAATATGCCGATTATCACTATAGTTTATTCATGTCTTCATTCATGCCATCGTTCGATCGGTAATTACAATGAAGATTTTAATTGGAGATGCAGATCGAAGAAGAAACTAAACAACATACGAAATCAATTGCTTTTCTTTTGATAGAAGTCAATAGATTTATTCAAACTAGAGAGAAAAGATGATCTTGAAAAATAATTTATTAGAGAAAATGTAAGAGCATCATTAATTGTACATGGATAAAGAAAATCAAGAACGTTAGGAAAAGAATTTCGTAATCGAAGAGACAAAAACAAAATAAGAAATATGAATAATGAATTGTTTTATATCATTCGCATAGGCGATAAGCAATCGATTGTGTACCATTGGATGACTCACTTAGCTCAAAAATATATGCAATACACAAAAGTAATTCATTGGTATCTTTCGATACTACTGTCTAAATAAAAATAGAACAATTAAAAAATAAGAACAGAAATATGAACTTACTTGAAGTACTCGTAAATGTTCAAGTACAGTATTCATCATTTCACGTTTATGCAATCCTATTTTTAGTTTTCTTATAAAATCAATCATAAAATTACACATTGTTGTGTCTGTTGAACGATGAATATATTTATTGATTAAATCATTATATGCTGTTGTGCCATTCTAGAAAAGTAAACATCGTTTTCTTTAAACATTGTTGGTAATATTAAATTTATTACTTCAATTTTTTCTACAATTGTTTTACCGAATGAACACGCTTTTGTTGTTATGCATACATTCATATTATCGTCGAAACTTTCAAAACTAGAAAGTATTTTGAACGCAAAAAAGTGAAGTCAGAAACAAAAAACAAGTCAAATTTATTTACATAGTACAATGATGATATGTATCTGTTGAATTTTCTTCATAATCTACATTGACCTGTAAGAAAAACGAACATACTATATTTAAAAGCATTGAATATCAATGGATTCTGTACATACCCAAACTTTAACAATATAAAATGCATCTCTAGGTCCTTTCGTATAAAGTTCTTTTAACATAGGAAATAGATCAATAATTTGGTGCACTTTGATACTCTTTACAAAAGAGAAAAAGAAAAACATCATTGATAAATTAAAGAAATATGTAGGTCTATATTTAACACCAACATGCAAACCAATTCAATAATGTGTTGAATGAATTTCTATAGTAACAAGTTATTGACTCATAACTTCTACTATTCATAAAGGATACGTTGCAACACATAAAAATACATTCTTAATCAGATTCTTCCAGTAAGCAAGTAATTAAGTAAATTTTCCTGAGAGACTTTAAATCGGAGTTTATTACATAACTTTCTGTATGATTGTCGACTCGTACGTCTGTTGAACGATACTTCTATTTCGGCTGATTTACAGCCAATTTTTCCAATTTGTTCTATTCAAGATTTATAAATATCTTTCGTAGATCACAATATCAGCTTGATCATCATAGAACAATACGAAAAATATCAAGAAAACAAACAAAAAGAATGAGATAATTTTGAGTCGAATGAAGATATTTATCTAGACTTTCAAAATGATCATGCAAAGAGTTTTCAAATATTGACTCTGACACATAAGAAGAATAAAAAAGAGCATTTCATCATATCACTTGAGTATACGTCGAAAACTATAGATGAAGCTTTTGAGAAAACTCCTTTCAAAATCTCAACAAACAACTTAAATCATCATCCGATTGTTGAGTACATCAAAGTCCATATATGTCCAACTTGAAACTTGAATTCAATTGAAAATTGAAATTTTCAACTTGTAAACCAATAGCTTTCTGAAGAATAGTGACTCACACATACGTATATCGCCATAAGTTGAAAGTTGAAAGTTGAAATTTTCAACTGAAGCTATGTTTGAAGTTTGACACTACTGTCAAAGTCATTCTTATTTCGATAAAAAATGCTTCAGCCAACATTGATTTACCTTCTATGCTGATTTTAGTTATAGTTCAATTAGCTTACTTCAGATTTCATATCAGTACCAGCTTCTTCACTGACACGCATTAGATAATGTCTCTAGAAAGAAAATATTCTTCAAGTTAAGCAAAAATCAAATTTTTATATTGAGTTTATTACTAGATTAGCATCGGATTTTGATTGAATATATCCAGCAAATTCAAGAAGCTTCAGTCGATTAGAAGTTATAGAAGGTGTCATGACATTTGCTGCTGAAACAAAATCTGTTGTGGTTGATGAAAATGTTTTCATACTTAGAAAAAATAAATCTGTATTTTGAAAAATAATAAATTCAATCAAATGAAACATACTCCATAGATGGCTGTTGCCAAAGAATGGGTGTTGTTGGTTTGAACGATAATGTTGGTGTTGATGAAAAAAATGGCACAGGTGTATGTTGATGTGCATAGTAGGTTGACGTGTTATCACCAATAATTGTTGATGATGTAGTTGGATTGTGTAATTGATGATAATGTTGATTATAAACTAATGGACGATGTGGTTCTTTAAAATTCGGATCCTAAATTGATAATATATTTTTTTTGTTCAAAGAAAATACTGAATTGTTTATTTTTCTAGGTTTACTTTAAAAAATGTTTGAAGTTCTTTTGATTTTCTTTTTGCAAGAACTTGAATATGTGATGATACTTGTTTACGTGTACGTAATTTACCCGTACGCATTTTAATATAACGTGAAATAAGTTCATTTCTACCGAACATTTTACCTTCATCTGATAAAATAATTTTGCGTCGACCACATGGAGGATAAATAGTTAATGCTTCCTAAATGAATTGATGAGATGAATTAAAAAAATAAGAATTCTATATTAAATCAATTAGAAAAATGATACATGAAAACTTTGCTCAATGTCAGGACTCCAAACACCTTCACCATCATTGTTTTGATCATCATCTAGTTCATCGGTCGATGTGGATTCTTCTGATTTAATTGAACAATTTGTACGATCGAAATCTTTAACAAACTGTAATGATGATGGCCAACTTGACAACATACTAAAAAAAGGAAACATAAATACAAATAAATCATGTTATAGTGATGATCATCGAGGACATAAGAGATAATGTAACAATCATCAAAAAAAAAAGAAAGTTACATCATACAAACACACACACACGCACACACAGAAGTTAATTCGATGAGTAAATAAAACATGTTGTTTGTTTCGAGCTTAATAAGAAATGATCTACTCGTGGCAATAGTCCACCACATGTGGGGTGATTTAAAAGTACAATGTCAATAAATAAAAGGAAAAATAATTGTTTTTTTCTTCTTCTTCAAACTAACACTTACTTCATTCGATTGCTGGTGCTCATCATTGTCTTTAAAAAATTATTTTACTGTCAAAATATAAATATATCAGAATGAGAGAGAAGATTTCTCTGACGATTTCGAATATGTATAATGCAATACTGAATAAACACACGTACATAAAGATACCAGAAAGAATGTAGGAGACTATTTTTCTATGCAATGCTAGAGATAAAATAGTCGTGCCATCATGATCCACCCACAAATAAAAAATATTAACCAATCCTTCGACTCTTCTCTCTTTCAGGTATGTAATATTATCTTTTCTGATTTTCTTATTCTTCTGCATTTTTTTCCATTAGATGAGGAACAGCTAGACATTAGATCTTATCTATCAAGAACACAAGCGAATCTAAATGATTCAGTAACAAAAAACAAGAAGATTAAGCGTAACAATATTTTTTTCCAATAAACTAATAAGCAGAATAAATGACTTACTTCGAAACTATTGTAGTCATTCTTGTTATGTTGATCTAAAATAAAAACAAACGAAAATTATTCAGCAGCTGTTAACAACCATTTTCATCGGTGAAGTATGTCAGTGTATTCGTTTGTGAATGACAATTATAGAGAGGGAAGATAGTGGACAGTTGGTAAATTGTTTGTGAAAAAAGATCACCTGCTTCTTTTTCTTCTTCTTCTTTTACAGGTGATCGATGTCATGAACATTATTGTTTTTTTCGCTTTCTCTTTCAAGTGAAACGTTCAATAAAGTAGCAGGCTTATATCACACTATAGACCGTTTGAATGAACGGAAAACAAAAAAAAACCTGACGTGTTAATCATCAACGAAGATGAGTTTATATGAGTGATGGTGAATCAGCATGATGATATATGATAGAAGGAAAAAAGTGAAACTGTTGTGTGTCATCAAGAATAAACTAATTGATGAACATCAATAGAATATAAAGGATGCTACACGATTGATGAATTCAAAAGAACAGCTTGACTTCTTGTTATTCATTGGCAGATGATCATTTTAACAAAGATCGATATACAAACGACAGTAAGATCAACCAAAACAGATACAATTGAAGTATAAATATCAATATTACTGAGGTTTGATGAGAACTAAATTTAGTTCTACAACGATAAAGTTAATCAAATAATCATGTGAAACTGATTGTGTATGATGTGCTAATGATCGGTAATTTAAGAATCGAAATGAAATATGTGCTCCTTTTTATTATTTTAAATTCTTACCTGTTCTTTGAATGAAACATGCCGATTTATTTTGATATGTTACTCAATTTCCTTCCCTTTTCTATTACATACTTCACTTTCAATTGCTCAATTCAAAAGTACTTTTTCAAACTTTCTTCTCATATCGGCAACGGTAGCAGACATTCAAGTATGAAAATAAATCTCATAAGAGGCCGTATTTCGACAAGAATCACTTACTCATTAACGGTCACCTCTTAATACAAATATAATTTTACGAAAGCAATAATTATCTGACACTTAAGATATATTTTATAATGATAGCGTATGAAAGGTGGCGTACACCTGAGAATACTCAATTTCATACTTATTTCTTCTAGCATAAAATAAAATAACAAGAACAACAAATAAGCGAGAATAAACGAAGATACATATGTTTAATTACATGAACATGAATGAAGTATTAAGTTTAACATACATTTCGAACGTGACAAAGTGACGTTTTTCCTAGTATTCTTCAAGTATAGCTCAATGTTAAAATTATTTATGATTACAATACTTCACTGAAAAACTCTTTCGAACTGATTAAAAATCTTAAGAAAATTTTCCTTGATAAGAATCGTAATTCATTAATAATGAAAACTTTGCTCCTTGAAAAGAATACAATCATGATTAGTACAAGCGATCTACTGGTAGATGCTTTCCTTAAATAATAGTTGAATGCCAATGATTATTGATTATGATTTGAAATTTAAAATATTTTTTCTTGCTGTTATTTATACAAAAACAATCAACAAATGTACATAGACAAAGACAGCCACAACGAAAATTATTTATTTTTGTTGGAAAACATGCATACAAACACGCACAATGATATTATCCATTAGTTCTTTAATTGTTTCTTTCTTCTCCTTTCAAACACATATACATAGACAAAACATTTATGAATAGAAGAAAAATTTGCATGAACATGTATAGAGGAATTTTAAATTGATAACAAAAAGTAATTAATTTCGGAAAAGGAGTCGTTCAATGGCTGCATTCACATCTCCCATTGTTGCTGATAGAGCTGAAAAGATATTGACATGTTTAAGAAATTTGATCATAAACAAAAACATCGATTACCTTGCAAATTTGCTTCACGATTAGTAAAACCCATCGAAACAAGTTGTTCTAATTGAACAGCATAGCGCTGATCTGGTGGCGTATTCTAGATATCATAGAGAAAAAGGAAGATAGAATAAAGCAGAAAGACAATTTTCACTAGAACATACAAGATTTTGATTTGACATCATATTCAACATTTGAGCAAATACACCTCCAAAACCATTTGGATCATTTGATAATGGTGTTGTAATATCGGCTGTTCTTGGTGCTGAATTTGATGATGTCGATTGAGGATTCGATGGCACAGTTCCTGTATTATTTGGTGCTATTAAACCAGTTGGATCGAAACGAAGACCACCTGGTAAGCCGCCACTAAAATTAATAAACAATTTTTACATACTATACTGGTACTTTAAAAGATGTGATCATTTAACTAACGCTTGAAATAGATTGGGTGCTGCTACACGCAAACGTTGAAGCCCTATACAAAAAGGGAAAAGAACATTATTGTTTTGATAGATCAAGTATACCGACCTTCATGAACTTGTGTTATAGCTTCAAGCGCTTCGCGATTTTGCATCAAACCTTGTAATTCAGGATTTCTCATTTGTTCCATCATATTTGGTAATGCATTAAGCATTTGTTCGCGCAATTCAGGATTATTTGCAAACATTGGATTATTAGAAACCATTTGTCTTGATATGTCCGGATTAGCCACAAGTGAATCCATTAATGGTTGCATATGAGGTGCACTAAGAATGCTTTCAAGTAAACGGGGATTTTGAAGTAATTGTGACATATAATTTTGCATCGTTGGGGAATTTAAGCTAGGCGAACCATCGGTAGCATTAGTCGGTAATGCTGAACCTGCCGGTTGTTGTTGTGAAGTATGTGTTGTAGTAGTAGATGGTTGTTGCACTTGACGAGGAGTTGTAGAAGCTACAGCAGTACCGCGTGGTGCCCAGGGATTTGGTAATGGATCAGTGTTTTCAGTACGCGATGCTGCTGTGTTTTCTATATGAAAAAACAATAACATGAAGATAATCAAAAAACAAAACCTTTTCTCAATACTACCATTTCCAGTAAATAATTGTGCAAATGGATTATTACCAAATTGCTCTTGTGCTGCTGAATACATGGGTTCTTGTACATCATGATAAATTCGTTGTAAAGCATTGAAACCACCTGGAATACTCTGTGAAAGGGAAATTTTTGAAAAATACTCAATAACCTATATTAGGTCTCCAAAGCACGACACTGTCATGCTTTTTTGCAGTTTAGAATATTTTAAAACGTATGTTTCTTATATGAGAGGAATTCCTACATCCAAAGCAATCTATTAGAAAATTGTAAATAGTTTATTTTCATCGTGATCATGCGTTGAACATTATCGCAAAATTTTAATGTATGAAAAATCATGTTGAAAAATAAGCCAAGTTAGTGTACTTATTGAATTCAAATAACTAGATGTGCTAGTTGGTTTTAAAGAGTCAGGTTATTTACTATTTAGTTTCATTTATATAGTTTCAATTCAGAAAAGAAAACGCCTCTATTTAATGTAGTTGTGACTACAATCGATTTTACTTTTGGATGAGCAAAATCATTGAATAGAATAAATCTTGAGGGTGTCTATTATTTATTCGTTAAATGAGCTTTCAAGCTTTTTTGTATCAAGATTTTCAATTGCTATCACTAGCGAGGTGAAAAACTCATGGAACTAATTTTGATGAAAAAGTCAGATTATGTTCCATTTTCTAAAGTACGAAGTCTTCTTTAGAAAGCAAAATAAAGGTTAGAATGGTTGAGCCAGTAAAGATTTAAATTCGTTTATTTCCAAAAGAAATATCCGTCTCAATCACGTGGCTTAGTACGAGATGTAACTAGTAAAACTTACTTCAAGATTACTCAATGCACGATCATGATTACGCATAAGTTCTTGTAATGCTGTTGGATTACGAGCGAATTCCATTGTTTGACGAAGTAGATCAGGATTATTAAGTAAATGTGATATTTCAGGATTGCGCTATAAAATAGATTTTTATTTATCTTTCATTTCACATCTTTATTTTTTCGAATTGATTTTTACCTCCATTAAGTCACGGATCTGTGGATTACTAAGTAATAATGAACGTAATAAATCAGGATTACTTGTTATACTTTGTACAACTGGGCTATCCATCAATTGACGAAGTTGTGCTGGATTACTCATGCTCTAAGGAATAGGACGGGGNTTGTCTATCTTTCAGAACTGATTTAAATCTCTAAATCAATGCTGTTTCAATCAAAAAATTTAGATTTTGATATAGATTAAAAATGAAGATAACGAAGAAAAATATTTATTGAGCACCTATTGAATCAAATTCAAAATAGACTTATAAACAAAAACAAGATGAAAAAGGAAGTATTGTTGGTATGGAAAAAACTTATCAAAAATTTGTTAATCAAGTTCGATCAACATTAAAATCAGATCCGTAATTTAAATTTAAAGAAACAAGAGAAAATAATTTTATTTTTCATAATAGATGTTGTCCATTATGTTATCGAGAATTTGAAGAACAAATTGAAGGTGAACAATTAATTCGTGATATGGAATTACAAATTAAAGGACCTGAATATCGACAAAAAATTTATGATGGTTTAAAATTATTACAACAAAAATTTGAAAAATGTCTTCATCTTAAACCAATTCAAAGCCAATTACAAGATCTCGAAGATAAAGATATTCCAACAATAAAAAATCAACTAAAACAATTTGAAAAAAAATAGTTGAATTAAAAAATAAGCAAACAGATATGAAACAAGAACTAAATGATCAAATTTCTTTACCATTAGAACAATATGAACAAATAAAAACTGATATTATTATTCTTAATAAATATATTAATGAAAGAAAAGAATTCGAAGCAAAAATTAATATCTGCCAACAAAAACTTGGTAAATAAGAGGTTTTAATATTAGATGCATCCATAGGCATAGAAGGAATTTCTTCGATTTGTAAGCTTTTAGTTTTCTGGAGTTTAGGATATTAAAAAATCGTTTATTGAAGTTATCGTTTTCCTAGTATTGAAACCAAACAAAAACAATTAATTATTATAGAAAAAAAAGATTACTTCGTTGTTTTGTTCAAATCAATTTTTAGCGATATGAAATGATGAAAAAGATAGCAGAAAACCTATAGCAGTATTATTGACAACTGAATAGTAGTGAATAATCATCTTCGTGCATATGTCAGGATTTAACGCATTAGAAAATGACACATGAACATCAAAATTTCTTCGAGTAGAAATGATACATTACATTGCTGAATCGATCTTTACAGAATATTTTGCTATTCAATCAATGATTTTAATATTTTACAGTAAGCTCCCTTACTTAAGTACAATTTTACCTGACTCTCATCTATTAAGAATTGTTAATCCCTAGTCAACTCTCCCTAGAAGAATCCCCAGGGAGTCCCTAGGGATTTCGTTATTTTACGGGGACTCCCCGGAGAGTCGTTGGGGGATAGTCGATTAGGGAATCTGGTCTCAATAGCTAATGACAGATTTCAAATGTTTCTTAAATCGAATTCAACAAAATGTTTAGGCTTGCCACACATATGTACCACTGAATACATTTCTTAATGATTTTTTTGAATTAAAACATTATGTGTTGTATCAATTTTGATACATATTACGATAATTTATTTGCATCAAGAAACAGATTACACCACAAGTAAGAAAGGAAAAACATTGAATGAGTAACATAATAGTATCGATAAAGAAAAAAAAGAATTCAAAACAGAAATCAAGAGGAGTTCACATATGAATAACATCTAGATTAGTATAGAATGAAAAACATTAAATGTGTAACATAATAGTATCGATAAAGAAAAAAAGGAATTCAAAACAGAAATCAAGAGTCCACATATGAATAACATCTAGATTATTATGGTATGAAAAACATTGAATATTCTGAAGCATACAAAAATATCTACTTTCTACATTACATTTTTTTAATAAGGAAGTATATTGGTATAACTAACAAAGGAATAAATTTCCATACACCCTTGGTATTCCATTGGAGATTCTTCAAAATAGCTTGATTTTCTTCTTCCTCGTATGTGATTTGTTTTGAGTTTAACAGTTGTTCTTCGAGAAATAAACATTTCTTTTTAAATTCTAAACATTCTTGTGTTTTCTCTTGTAATATTTTTTCTTTTTCTTCAATAATTTGATCTTTCTCTTCAATAGCTTGTTGTTTTTCTTCAATAGTTTGTTGTTTTTCTTCAATAATTTGATCTTTCTCTTCAATAGCTTGTTGTTTTTCTTCAATGGCTTTCGTTTTCTGTTTCAGCGCTTGCTCATTTACTGAATCCAATCGTTCTAAAGCATGTATGATTTCATTCACATTTTTCTTTTGTACATTCACAATGTCGTCCTAAAAAAAGTGAAACAACTTAATTTTTGTATAATTGCAAAATCTACCTACCATTATTCACGCACTAAGACTAGCTATTTCACAGATCAAAGCTGATGTTCACTATTTAATTCAAACAGGAAGACATGTCAATGAAAGTTAAAAGATAAATAAATACATACGATATGTCGTGGTTTGCACATTATAACAATTAAAATGTGAATCTGTCCAGAGTAAAGAATTCATCGCTGTATATATGTATCAGTCACGGCGAAGTGGACAAAGAAAAGTCACATAAAGAAAGAATACACCCTTAACACTTGAGCTAATTCACGTTATTGCCGTCTGATTTGTCCATGTCTTTCACTTAGTGACGATGATTATAGTGTTATCAATAAACAATGAACCGCAGTCATTGTTTGAGACAATGAAGTAAAAAAACATTGATCAGTAATGCCATCTATTCCTAAAACAAATTCATCTTCTTGTTCAATTAGCTGATTAATTTAGCGTATAAGTAAATATATTCTTGACTTTCATGTGATGAATAGGGGTGCCAATTTACATTTTATTTAATTTAAATTTAACTTCTTGAAAAGTTAATTTAATTTTAAATTAAATTCTATTAAGTTAAATTTAAAATAAATTTAAATTCTTCTGATGCAAAAATTTAATCTCGAGAGATTTAATGAACTATTGATAAGCAATATAAAAACGGTTTAACATTTTATTATATGAGTATTTGTTTTGATTATTTCTTGGTATAAAGAAATATCATGTAATTGGCATTGATGAATTTGTAGATCAAATGTACTGAAAATTATGCATATAAAACTTTTTGCTTACAACTCAGTTTCTCATATATTGGATTCAATTAAAAATGAGTTAAGACGATTCTGACAGCAATGTATCATGAATAAATATAAATAAAAATAATCAAGACATGTTAATAAATACCATTTATTTCAATTATTCTTCATTAAAAATAATTCGTATAGCAGATTTTAAGAAGGGTATACTTTCACTTGATTGCCGATAAATTTTCTATGTCAATTGATATTTTTTTCTCTCAATAAATTGCTACTTTCAAAATGTTTCCGAAGAAAAATTGACAAGTAATATTTTTATCTAAGCCTACTTAAGATTTACATCAATATGCTAAGAAAAGTAAATTGAATATTCTATAGAAAAAAACAATCTATTTAATTATTTAGTAACTAATTCAATGTAAATGAAAATGAAAATTAACATCAATGTTCAATTAGGTTTATTGATAATTTACGAAAGAAACATGTCTGTTTGGAAAATAATCTTCAGGAAATAAATCGTTTCAATATGAATCACATAGGATTCGATTTATTTTATCTCAAATAAATTAGTATCATAATATAATATAAGTATCTCTTCACAAAAATATTTCAATCAATTGGTTCAGTTTTATTATTTTCCCCTTTCTCATACATTGTTTATTTCACTGAGAAAATTAGTTTCATTTCCGATACAACAAAAAGTTCTAGTAGTATTCAACTGAATTCATTCTAGAATGCTAATATATCAAGTAGTTTATTTTGAAATTTTATATTAAAAGATATAATAATCAATAAACATCATTTAACTGCTAATTAAAACATAAATAGCATTGCTATACTAACCCATTCGATCTTTCATAGGAGCTTAAACAATAAATAATTTGATGAATATTCCTGAATTTTATAATAATGAAATTGATTTTTAATCAAAATTATGAATTTGAATAGATGAAAATGTTCGTTTTTTGATTAATGTAATTGAAGTGTATCAACTTTTATATGCCTTTAATCGTTAAAAATGCCATTTGCGTCGTGTTTTTCATATCTAATTCATGAAAACGAAGAATTATTTTTTTTTAAATCTAGGCATAACTTCTGGTCTATTTGCTATTGTTTTTGAATTATAGGACAACCATTATTCTTGGTGGACATGAATTGACAAAAAGTTTTAAATTATTTTCAAGGCGCATCTCCAAATTGATCTCAGGCGATGATGTTCGCGATGATGATGATGATGATGATGAAACTGAGTCGCAACATTATCAACAATTACTTAAAAGCATAAAATTAATCAATACATGTTTTAATATTAGTTCCAAGGCACCAGCCATCATCGGCGAGTGCGGCTTTGATTGTATTGTCGAGCGGGTTCCTGATGATGAAATTATTGTGATTATACAACATGTAAAAAATTTGCACAAATGGGATATTATAACTGGAGTTATGGTTATAAGACTTTCAAATGAAAATTCTTCGTTTGCTGTTGATCAAACTATTACGACAACTTCGCATATCAACTGGTTCGAAACTTTTTACTTCGTGCAGAGTTGATGAAAATTACATCAATCGAAAGAGCGTAAAAAACTGAGTATATGTTGAAATTTTCCCAGATGGGTATGTTCAGGTCCCCAGCAATTATTTTTGAGAAACGATTCTCTAACAAGAACCATGTAAGCATTTTTTTTGCTCTCTTCTCCTTCTTTTTTATGCACATGCACATGCTCTCTTGCATAGGGCTACTCACATAGGACGTATTCAATCGATAAGGAAAGAAAAGGAAAAGGAACGACACAAACGCATAATAACAAAAAAATATCAGTTCATCATTTGAACTTTCTTTCACAGTTACATGCAATACGCACGAGA